TTGTAAAAAAAAAAATATATATATATATATATTTGGAAAAAAGCCAGAATTTGTAACATAACTGCAAGTAACAGGGTTGTAGATTTAGCCTAAATTAAGGTGAAACTCAGCGGGGTCTAGCTAGTTTTAGACCAAGTTTTTATAGCTTATATTTCCTATATAATATTCCCTATAAATATTTGATCATTTTTCTTATAATGACTTGAATAACAGGGTTGAGCATCAATAACTAGTGTAAAAATGGAAACTATAGATATGTAAAAAAAAAATTTTTTTTAAATACCCCATTATAATGCAAAGTTAACAACATTTGTGAATATAATATTTTTAAAAAGTCCTGGGACACCAGGTGTACTATATTCATGTTTTATCTTTCAAAGCTGTCAATGAAAATGCTATGTTTATTTATGTCTAAATGTTGTTTTCTTCACTCTCTTTGCTTCTTCCTTACCTATTACTTGAACAGCTTGTTGGTCTATTTTTCACCTCCACTCTCCCTTGGTACCAAATGACCACTTGCAGATTGATGATTGGAGCTGTTTGCAAAGGATCATGTATAATTGCATAGAAGGATCTGGGGCAGGACGGGCCACGCAAAAAGGGACCTTTTTTATTATTGGTCCCTGTGCGGCTTCATTTCAGAAACATCAACAGCCTTTCACTAGCTCTGACTTTTCTATAGATTTTCCATCTCTGGATAGAGCATTTTTCTCCCTCCTTTTTCTTTTGGTGCTATAAAAAATAGTTTAGATGTTGACTCAGACTTAACCTGCGGTATTTTAAATAGCAATGCCTGAACAAGCTCCCACTCAGTCAGACGGTTTACTCTGCAACACAACGCAATACACAGCCGGTATGGACAGATATCGATGCCGCTTAGTCCAAAGGCCACTAAAAACCTAATATGAAGGGCTCAATATGAAAAATCTATTTTCTCATACAAAATGTGTTTTTGCCTTTTGTGCAAGATAAATGTGCATTACACACCCAGTATAGAGGCGTATGATTTGAAATAATTATATATTGAAGAATCAATCCACCGCCTGCGGTGTTTTAAAGCCCTGTGGTAATAGTCTTTCTGACAGGGAGCCGCTAAATCCCTCTGTGACTGATATAACAGAACGGCAGTCCTAATACTGAGCTATATCTTCTTTTCCCTTTGACAGAGTCCACGGTGTTCTTTCCTCAGGCCAGCTTTGCTGTGGAAGAAGATATTGGAGAAATCCTGATCCCGGTGCACAGGAGAGGAGACGTCAGTGAGGAGCTGCTAGTGGTCTGTCACACTCAGCAAGGTGCAATACACAGTATATACAACCTGATATAAGCTCTCATTTTTATACCAACAATCATTATTTTTTAAAAAGTCCTGGGACACCAGGTGTACTATATTCATGTTTTATCTTTCAAAGCTGTCAATGAAAATGCTATGTTTATTTATGTCTAAATGTTGTTTTCTTCACTCTCTTTGCTTCTTCCTTACCTATTACTTGAACAGCTTGTTGGTCTATTTTTCACCTCCACTCTCCCTTGGTACCAAATGACCACTTGCAGATTGATGATTGGAGCTGTTTGCAAAGGATCATGTATAATTGCATAGAAGGATCTGGGGCAGGACGGGCCACGCAAAAAGGGACCTTTTTTATTATTGGTCCCTGTGCGGCTTCATTTCAGAAACATCAACAGCCTTTCACTAGCTCTGACTTTTCTATAGATTTTCCATCTCTGGATAGAGCATTTTTCTCCCTCCTTTTTCTTTTGGTGCTATAAAAAAATAGTTTAGATGTTGACTCAGACTTAACCTGCGGTATTTTAAATAGCAATGCCTGAACAAGCTCCCACTCAGTCAGACGGTTTACTCTGCAACACAACGCAATACACAGCCGGTATGGACAGATATCGATGCCGCTTAGTCCAAAGGCCACTAAAAACCTAATATGAAGGGCTCAATATGAAAAATCTATTTTCTCATACAAAATGTGTTTTTGCTTTTTGTGCAAGATAAATGTGCATTACACGCCCAGTATAGAGGCGTATGATTTGAAATAATTATATATTGAAGAATCAATCCACCGCCTGTGGTGTTTTAAAGCCCTGTGGTAATAGTCTTTCTGACAGGGAGCCGCTAAATCCCTCTGTGACTGATATAACAGAACGGCAGTCCTAATACTGAGCTATATCTTCTTTTCCCTTTGACAGAGTCCACGGTGTTCTTTCCTCAGGCCAGCTTTGCTGTGGAAGAAGATATTGGAGAAATCCTGATCCCGGTGCACAGGAGAGGAGACGTCAGTGAGGAGCTGCTAGTGGTCTGTCACACTCAGCAAGGTGCAATACACAGTATATACAACCTGATATAAGCTCTCATTTTTATACCAACAATCATTATATATATATATATAATGTTTAATTATAAAATGTTTAATGATCAAATTAGCCTCTATAAAAGAAATTAAAAATTTATTTTTTATTTTTTATATTTTACCACATTTTTACAAAAACGTTATTGAAATTATTTTGTATTGATCTTTTATCAGTCTTATTTAAAATACTGTAAATAAATTAAAAAACTCCTGACCTGACCAATATTCTCAAAATTGGTTTAAAATGTGTTCAGGAAGTGTTTTTAAAGCTATAGTTCACCCACAGATATTTCAGAAATGGTTCATAAGAACCTTTTGTACTACTCTTTACACACAAGTTTAAAATGTCCATGTCTCACTAGCTTCTAATAGACAGACAGACAAACAGACAGATCTATCTAAAGGCTTCTGTTAAGCCTTAATTCATGTGTAGAATTCAAAAATATTCTTGTCATTGTCATTCATACCAAGCCAGCATTTAATTTTGTGTTTCTACTTTGTGTTCCATGAAACAAAAGAAAATGGGTTTGAAACGAGGTTGAGTAAAGAATGACAGCCATTTTTGTAAAATGACATTGTCATTTTTGAGCAAAATATCCCTTAACAGATTCTTTTGAAGCATCCTTTTGAAGCATCTGTAAACGCTTTATGTGGATTTGAATGAATTCCCTGCATGTGTCCTTTCTGTGCTGCTGCAGGCTCCGCCACAGGAACCGTCCCCACTTCTGTTCTGTCCTACTCTGACTACATCTCCCGTCCAGAGGAGCAGGCCAGCATTCTGCGCTTTGATAAGGACGAGACGGAGAAGCACTGTCGTGTGGTGATCATTGACGATTCGCTGTATGAGGGAGAGGAGAGCTTCAACGTGACCCTCAGTATGCCTATGGGAGGCTGTCTGGGGCCAGAATACCCCACTGCGCTTATCCGCATACTGCCAGACCAGGACGACGGTAAGGGCTTGTTTGCTTTTGTTTGATTAGAAGTAAACATTTAAAGGAACATGAAATCTTCACTCCAGGAAATATTGATTGTCATATTGACGATAATATACTGTACACGTGACCTGAACAAAGAAAGAAACAAACTCACTTCTGTGTCATAAACGGGGTGAATAAGTAGGAGCCAGTGTTATATTAGTATTATTTCAATTTTAGTTATTTTATTACCAATTTGAAATTACCAAATTAGAAAAATTATATATATATATAAAATATACAATATTTTTATTATTTAATTTAATTATTTCTTATATTATTATTTAGTGATATTTGTTTAGGTTTATTTTATTTTAAGGAACCAGTTTTTTATGGTTTAATTTTTTTTTTAAACTATAATAAACATGGTTGGAGCTGTGGCATAGTGGTATAGTGCTCATGCTGTAGCGCTTATGTGGGAAATTTGAGTTTGAGTCTGGCTCGCGTCATTTCCTGTTCCACTTTTTCCCCAAAAAACAATAAAAGTACAAAAAGTAACAAATAAAAACTAGAATATTTTTTCTTTTAAAAACATTTATTACTTGCAATTCAGTCTGTAAACCATACAAATAGAGCTATTCACAGTCCATATCATGCTCAGACAGATATGTATTTGTTAGTTCAACACGCAGTGATATTTAAAGAGCCATTTATCTTTTTCCAAAGCCTTGTATAGCGGCAGAATTTATGTGTGTCTCATGCACATACAGCAGCCAGTGGATGAACCCAGAATAGACACAATGCACATGTAAATGGGCAATGCTGAAGTTTGCATAGGAGTCTCTTTTTCCTCCAGCGTTATGAGGCCTGAAATCACAGATAAAGTTGAGTTATTCTAAAGCCTTCTTTCCTCAAAGCAACAGAATTAATTATTTTTCAGCAGAAAGCGAATGGATTTTTGTTCTTTTATCTCTGTTTTGCTGTTATTATGGCACCTCTCAAAAGTTTGCTGAGGAAAATAGGAGCCACTGGCTTAGCCCACCTCAGACAGAAAGCGTGAAATTGCACTCAGGAGAGAGCTGGAAGGGATAGAGTTCATCCTTTGGCTGGGAAAATATACATGCACATATGTGTATATACTGCTGTGTGACTGAATCCCTGTGCTGCTCGATGCTTAACGTGCATTAGTGCTAATTCCCATGTGACACGAAGGTGAAAGCTTTCATCAAGTTAAGTTCAGCTGAGCATGCTGCATTCGGTATATCTGACAAATAGTGTTTATTAAAGCATAAAGAGTGTGTGTGTGTGTGTGTGTGTGTGTGTAAGTAAGAGACTGTGTAATTAGAGGGTGTTGATGGCGCTTTGTTTTGGCACGTCTTTCTGAGTCTTTACCTTCCTTTTAAAACCCCTCGTACACACACCTCAGGCTACTGAAGCTTTTTTCTGGGGCAATCCTCTTGTCTATGGTACAATATCCTAAGGGTATTAGATCTTATCTCGCTCTATCTGAAGCCGTTATCAGTAAATCTGGGCTAAAACCATCTGAACATCAATCAGCATCCTGCAGTAGCAAAACACTCCTTAAATTCAGTGTTAGAGCATATAGTTTCAGCCTATTGTGATTATTTATGCTTAACATGAAGGCTATAAGGTTCCTTAAGGCTTTAATCATTTACTTAGTATTGAGGAAAAATTTTTTAACTTAAATGATTTTAGCAAATGGCTGCAATATAACAAAGAGTGAAAAATTTAAGGGGGTCTGAATACTTTCCGTACCCACTGTATGTATATGTATCTTTTTTTTGCATTGCATTGCAACAAGCTCAAATCACCTAAAATGTACTTACATTTTATTATGGAATGAAATTAGTAATCTAATAAAAAATGACTATTTTACCTAGTATACACTACAGTAGGATTTTTAAACAAAATGTTTAAAAAAATTTAAGCGAGGATGCATTAAATTAATCAAAAGTGACAGTTAATATCTCTATAATGTTACAAAGGATTTCTATTTCAAATATATTTTGTTTTTTAGAACTATTCATGAAAGATTCCTGGAAAAAAATGTATCGCCGTTTCTACAAAAATATTAAGCAGCACAACTGTTTTCAACAGATAATGTTTCTTGAGCAGCAAATCAGCATATTAGAATGATTTCTGAAGGCTCATGTGACACTGAAGACCTGAGTAATGATGCTGAAAATTCAGCTTTAACATCACAGGAATAAATTACAATTTAAAATATATTACTTCTTTTGAAATTGAAATAATATTTCATAATTTAAAATATATTTTTTGATCAAATCAATGCAGCAATGGTGAACATAAGAGGCTTCTTTTGAAAACACTTTTGTAGTGTATACATGCGTGATTTGTATTTTAGAGCATTGTGTCAATTTGGAATCAATTGAAACTGAAACTTGAGCTTAAATTTAAAAAATGCGACACACTTGCATGAGATGCTGAAAAATAGTGTGTGTGTGTAAGAGTTATTTTTCTACACTCTTTCTACTTGTGAAATGCTGACTGTGAATAGTAAAAATGAAATTCTGTATGAAATTGTGCATACCTCCAAAATCTGTATCATCCCGTTCTCCTCGGTTTCTCTCTTGTGCACACACACTAGCACATACACACAAATGAATTATTGATCTGGTGGCCCTAGTTGGGCTGCTCAAGTAGGTTGTGTATCATTTCTGTTTTTATTTTTGTTTATCAAATTTTCAGATCAGAATGAAGCGAGTGAAATTTAGGCTATTCTCCATGTCATTTAGATTTATGTTGAGTGGTTAACTGCAGATGGAGAGATAAATACAGCTCCGACAAAGTAAAGTACAACACCTCCCCCAAATGATCAGAGACAATGAGAAAAAAGACTGGAAGTGTGTGCACGTGTATGTGTGTGTGTGTGTGTGTGTGTGTGTGTATGTATGTGTATATGTGTGTGTATATATGTGTGTGTATATATGTGTGTGTGTGTGTGTGTGTATATGTAAGGTAGGAGTTTGCAGGTAGGTAAACAGACAAAGGTTGACTCCCTCAGGCAATGCAGGAATGATTTTATCTCTGAATGCTGGAGAGGAGATCTAAACGAGCAAGGAAAGAAGGTCAAAACTACAGCTGAAAATTCAGTCCAAAACTCAATTACTCTCTCTCAGTTGTGTGTATGTGTGCTAAACATGAGAAGTGGTTTGCTGCTGCCTCTGTATGAGCGAAACCGCATTGGAGAGTAACTAAAACTAGTGAAAAACTATACACTTTTCAGTTGCGTGACGGTAGTTTAGCTGTTTTCAAAATACTCTTGCTTTTTTCAGTAAGTCGGTGAGCCGTGTGGTGGACTGAGTCAGGAAGTTACACTCCATACTGCTGTCTCTCTGAGAGCTAATGAACTGCATCAAAACAAACATGGTCCGGATGCCGAGCTCAGTGTTGTTTGGCCGGCAGCGACTGAGCACACTGCAGATTAAAACTGAAGAGATGTTTTGCTGCAGAGATAAAGAGTACAACAAAGACTAGTGACTCCAGTGAAACATCTGGTCCTCACTGCAGGATGTTCTGGCTCCTTTAAAAGGAAGAGACCACCTGATTTATATGTAAAAATGACTATTCATAGTTTTTGTTTTTATGTGCCATTTGGGCCAGGGTTACTGAAATTAATTTGACTTTATTAATATATTTGCATGGGAAAAATAATTCAAAGATGCCAGCGGTCTTTGTTAAAGGTTATCTTGAAAACTGAAAATAGCAGAAAATGTGTTTAGAATTTCCATTGTATGTGAAAATATGCGTTGTAGTCCAAACGAGTCGTTTGTTGTAGTTTTTGTGAAAAGTTGAAAAGTTGATTTCTGTTAAATAAAATATCTCCTTTTGAATTGGATTTTGAGCTTTGTAACTTTGCAGATCTTTTTTATGCTCAAACAGCAACATTACAGACTAACTAAAAGTGAAAAAGTGAAAAAGCATAATAGGACCACTTGAAAGTTCAGTAAAGATGCATTGAATTGACAGTATTTATTCAAAAGTGACAGTAAATATTTATAATGTTAAAAAAGATTTCTATTAAGAATAAATGCTGTTCTTTCCAACTTTCTGTTCATCAAATATAATATATTTTAGAGCATTTGCTCATCTACAGTACATCTATGTTTACTGTCAGGTGTTAAATATATTATATTATATTATATTATATTATACTTTTGAAATGCATGAACTATGCCATATAAACAAATGCTTTAAAAAAAAAAAAATTCAGATAAAAACACACACTTCAAAAATTGTATCCACAATATTCATGTGCTATCTGGGATATAATATGCAGTACCATTAAAAAATGATGTGTCAGTAAGATTTGTTTTTGGAAGTCTCGGGTTTCTTGTGCATTTGTTTGTTCAAAAATACAGTAAAAATGATAATATTGTGAAATATTATTGCAATTTAAAATAACTGTTTTCTATTTTAATATATTTTAAAAATTTCATTCAATTTATTCCTGTGATGTTAAAGCAGAATTTTCAGACTTCAGTCTCACATGATTCTTCAGAAATCATACTAATATGCTGATTTGCTGCTCAATAAACTTTTTTTTATTATTCTTATCATCAATGTTGAAAACAGTTGTGCTGTTTTAGTCTTTGGAAAACCACTGTTTTGTGTGCAGTATGCATTAGATGGTGGCTGAATGGACTGTGAGAGGTCCATATGTGTGCTGCCTGAGGCTGAGACCATCCAAGTGCCAGAGATTGATGTTGGACATGATGCTTTCTGCTCAGCATCATTTGTATGACAGTGTAGCCCTAGGTGAAGGTGGAGAATACAAGAAAATGTGGTGTACATAACTGTTTGAAGGAAGTATATCTACAGAGACACCTGTCTTTAATTTCAAATTAATGCCTGACAGCATACGCGTCTGTTTGACAGATGTTCATAGTCTGAGAACGACAAATGTTTATGTCTAGAGAAACTCAACTATTAGCACACAACTCAGCATGCACTGACTGTCAATGAGTATTACATTCACATTATGTACACTGAAT